CAGAACTTCGTGCGTGCCACTTCGGAGTCGCTGCTAGCCTATTACAACAGGCTGCTGGAGCTGGCAGAGGACATGGGGTGTATGGAGGAGCGCCTCTTGGTGACGAAATTTGTCAACGGTCTGGACAAGGACCTGATAGGCGACATGAGGAGTCAGCTGTACGTCCTGGGAGTACGCGCCACGCTGCGGCAAGTCTACAAGGTGGCGAAAGAAGTGGAGGAAGGGAAGAGATTTTATGATGGCATGCAGGGGTCGAGTTCCAGCCGACCGAACGAGCGGAAACGGCCGGCCTGGGCAGCTATGGAAGGAAGAAGGGGAGAGGAAGAGTGGAAAGAGAGGCCATCGGAAGACCCGAGACGCTGCCATAAATGTGGAGAGCAAGGACATCTTCGGAGGGATTGTACGGTGGGAATAATCTGCGACACCTGTGGAGCAAAGGGACATTTCAGGCGTGACTGCCCCAAGGCGCCGACCTGCACGGGGTGTGGGAAGAAAGGCCATACCGAAGCTAGATGCTACAGCAAGGGAGACAAGGCGAAAGGGAAAACTGCAAGGGAGCTGCAGTTAGAACGAGAGTTGGCGAAACTGAAAGCTCAGATGGAGAAATCAGGGATCAGTGAAGACCCCGAGAAAGCTCTGCTGGCTTGGGGGGATGACGAAGGGGAAGATTCTGAGGAAGGGGAACCAGAATACGGGACCATGGCTATGCCGCCAAGGGAGAGGGGAGACCTGGGGCTGCGCAGCGGAGGGGCAGATGGCAGAGCGGAGCAGAAATTACAAGAGCGAAGAATTTCCAGGCGGCAGGAGAATCAAGGGAAAGTCAGCACCGCACGGCGTCACCCCGAGGAAAGGCTAGTCTGTCAGCCCACAGCCTTAGTGGTGGAACCGAAAGCCGTGGCGGTCAGAGGAATCTTGGTAGAAAACGCGGTAGTGGATACAGGAGCACAGAGCGTCCTAATCGGGAAGAAGCTGACGGCACAACTGCGAGCGCAAGGGAACCTAGAGACTGTAAGCAAGGGCATACTGATCATGACAGCAGGAGGGGCCCCCAAGTGGATGCCATGCACACGGGACCTGATAGAGATAACCTTACAGCCGGGAGAGAAGGGGGAGACCACTATCAGAGTGCAGTGTGGGTTGACAGAATCAGAAGACTATGATATCCTACTAGGAATGGAGCTGCTGTTCAAGATAGGCACCACTATCTGTACCTGGCAGGAGCAGGTGCTCTACCGTTCGGACTTTTGGGAGGAAGGGAAGGAGCTGAGTGAACTACCAGTACGGTTTGTTAAGACAGAACCCAAGAAGGCGTGGAGAGCAGAAGGACTGAGGAAGAACAGTAGGAGGGGAGGAAGTGTGGGGAAGAGCAACGGCAGCGCTCACCTGGATCAGTATAGCATTACACTAGTGGAGCTGTTCGGGGGAATAGGAGCGGGCTTGGCAGCAGCCTTGGAAGCAGGCCTGAGGGTGAAGAAGTGGGTATACGTAGAATTGGACCCAGAGGTGAGGAGAATGGCATGGAAGCATGCTCAAATGCTACAGCAGCAGTACCCCGCGCAGCTGACGAAAGAAGTACTACGGGAGGCCATGCAGAACAAGAAATGGGACGTGGGGCAGCTCACGAAAGAAGACGTGAGCAGCTGGGGTAAAGTGGATTTGTTAGTGGCGGGATGGGAGTGTCAGGGTACTTCTAGGGCCGGAAAGGGGAAAGGCTTACAGGACGAGCGCACGGGGATGGTGACCAAGCTACTCACCATAATGAAGTGGACGAGTGAAGTGAATGGAGAATATGCTTACATCCTGGAGCATGTGGATATGAGGAATGACGTACGCGAGCCGGTCAGGGCAGTAAGGGAGCTGGTGGAGGCAGAACTGGGGAGAGGAGTGAGCTGTGATGGGGCACAGTTGGGGGCACGCTGTCATAGGGTGCGGCAGTACTGGCAAAACGTCTTACCAGACGGGGAACTGAGGGCAAGACTAGCAAGAGTGGAGAGGGACGAAAGCAGGATAGTAGAGGATATTTTAGAACCAGGGAGGGTGGCGGCCCCAGTGGTAAAACCAGATCATCCGCGGCAGTACCAGTGCAACCGGGTGGGGGAAGCTCGCAGGGCATGGCCTACATTAGTGGCATACACCAGGGCACAAGGTTTCATCGAGGTGGACGGAATACCAGGACCAGGGATGGTGTACGATCACCGGAAGAAGAAGTGGGAGGAACCGACGGCTTTGGAGCGGGAGTTAGCCATGGGATACCTGCCAGGAGCAACCGCAGCAGAAGGGGTAGAGGAAGGGATGCGCAGAGCAGCTTTAGGAAGAGCCATAGACCAGCACTCGCTGAGATGGTTAATCAAAGAGATGAGGAAGGGGGCAGCTGATAAAGGAGGAGAGACCGGAAAAAGGCAAGGACAAGGAGAGAAGCAGGCGGCGTATGCAGCTGTTGAGCAGGGCACGGGAGGAAAGGAGAATGTTGCGGCACTAGCAGGGGGCAAAGAAGCTGAGCAGGGTAAGGAATGGAAGCTAGGTACGGACATCAAGGAGCAGACGGCAGAAGCAATCAGAGAGGTGCTGCACCAGCACAGGAGCACTTTCGCCTATAACCTGCAGGAATTGGGGAGGTACAAGGGAAGAGAGCTGGAGCTAAACCTTACCACAGAGATACCCACTTACCAACGAAGAAGGAGAATGAATGCAGAGGATGCGGCTATTTGCAAGGAGAAGTGTGAGGAGCTGCTAGCAGCAGGGATTATCCGCCCGTCCGAGTCAAGCTACGCAGCAGCCACAGTGGTAGCTGCCAGGAAGGATATCACGGGTAAAGTGCTGGCGAAAAGGATGTGTGGAGATTTTCGGGAGCTGAATAAGATTACCAGCCCGGACAGGTACCCCATGCCAACAGCAGAAGACATCTTTGATCGCTTAGAAGGCGCCATCATCTTCACCACCTTGGACCTGCGACAGGGGTTCAACCAGATAGCCATCAGGGAGGAAGACAAACGGAAAACGGCGTTTCACGGGGTGGATGGGCTGTATGAGTACAATGTGATGCCCTTCGGGATACGCAACGCCCCTGCAGTGTTCCAGCGGGCCATGGATCAGGTGCTGAAGGGGATTCCAGCAGCAGCCTGCTACATAGATGATATACTGATTTTCAGCAGCAGTGAAGAGCAGCACGTGCAAGATCTGAAGCAGACGCTAGAGGCTATAGCAGCTGCGGGTCTGACGTGCCATCCAGACAAGTGCAAGATAGTAAGGCAGACCGTGGCTTACCTGGGCTTTGAAGTGAAAGGGGGCCGGCTGGCGATACAGGAAGCAAAAGTTAAGGTGCTGGAGAACCTGGCAGCACCAAAGGATAAGACCGGGCTGCGGGCGTTACTCGGCTTCCTGAATTATTACAGGAAGTTCGTACCGAACTTCAGCCGCCGAGCCTACATACTGAATCAGCTGCTGAAGGAAGGGAGGAGCTGGCAGTGGGGAGAGCTGGAGGAAACGGCAAGGCAGGACCTGTTAGAAGCAGTACGAACGGGAACGCTGCTGCAGATACCGAGGGCAGATGCCCCTTTCATCTTATACACCGACTGGAGCAGCACAGGAATGGGGGCAGTGCTCTGCCAAGAGATAGAAGGAGAGGAGAGAGTGGTAGCCTTCGCCAGCCGCAGCTGCAGCCCATCCGAGGCTAACTACTGCTCTTACGAGGGGGAGGGCCTGACAGCTGTATGGGGGATCACTCACTTCAAGGTGTACCTGCAGGGTCGGCGCTTCACACTTGTGACTGATCACCAGCCGTTGCTATGGTTGATGACTCATCAGGAGCTGACGGGAAGAAACGCTCGCTGGGCCATTAAGCTGCTGGGATTCGACTTTGAGATCCGACACCGGCCTGGGAAAACGCTGCAGCACGCAGATGGGTTATCAAGGAATCCGCCACCAATGCAGCCGGTAGCGCAGCTGGCAGCCCTGGCTCAAGTAGCAGCGATACCCTGGGGGCAGGAGAAAGGAAAGAAGCGGTTAGGGGATATATGGGAGGATGAGGAGACCCTGAGCTGGATCAAAGGGGAGCCACTAGAAGAGGAAGGAGTGAGCGAGAGAGCCAGGGCCCGAGGGCAGCATTTCAGGTGGTTTCAGGAACAGCTGCAGCTGAGAACCAACGAAGGGTGGAAGGTGGTGCCACAACCACAGGAGAGAGCCAAGATTATGGGGAATGTGCACGCGAAGCTGGGGCACTTCGGCATAACCAGAACACGGCAGCTGCTGAGCACCATGTACTGGTGGGTGAGCATGGGAAAGGATGTGGCAGGATTAGTGGCGAGCTGCGAGGCATGTCAGAGGAATAAAGCAAGGCTGGAGAAAGAGAGAGATGAGCTGCATTCTTTACCAATTCGCGGGTTGGGCTACAGGTGGTCGTTGGACCTCGCGGGAGAGCTGCCACTATCGAAAGGAGGGAAGCAGTACATTCTGGTGATGGTTGAGCACACGAGTAAATGGGTGGAGGCGCGAGCGTTACCAAGCAAGAACAGCGCACTGATAGCTGACGCTTTTGAGGAGCTGGTGCTCACCAGGTATGGGGCATGCGGGGAGGTACTCACTGATCAAGGGACGGAATTTCAAGGGAGCTTCGACGAGCTGCTGGAAGAGATGGGTATCACGCACAGGGTCACCTCTAGGTACCATCCTCAATCAGACGGACTGACCGAGAGGCTCATACAGACCTTGAAGAAAGGACTACGGGCCTACAGTGAGTCCCACAAAAGGAGTTGGGACCGAGATCTCTGGTGGGTGCTGGCGGGGTACAGGTTCGCAAAGCAGGCGGCTCTGAGAAACCTATCCCCATACCACTTACTGTTCGGGCGGGATCCTGTGCTGCCGGTCGATGCTCTGAAGCTGCTTTCTGCGGTTATAGAGGCAGATGAGCCAAACATGTGGGCGGAGTTAGCCCAGAGGAGAGCAAAGTATTTGAAGGAGCTGACTCCGGCAGCTCTGGATAACCTCCATGTGGCGCAGCTGCGTGACGCAAGACGATACCAGCAGCGTAAAGCATCAGGGATAGGGGGAAAGGGTGATAAGGTGGAGGCAGGGCAGGAGGTATACCTTCGCAAAGCTAAGCGCGACACGCTGGACTTAGCGGTGGGATCGGAGCGATGGAAGGTGAAAGAGATACGAGGCTCGGGAGTGTTAGTGCTGGAAGATATTCGAGGGGGAATCATCAAGGAACACATCACCAACGTGGCCAGGGCGGGACAAGGGAAGCCTCAGGCAGTGGGTCCCGTGACTCAAGCGGCAAAGATGGGCGCTGAGACACGGGAGGGGGCAGGGAAGCCTGAGGTACCAGGAGGAGTGCAGGACAGAGTGATTACATACGCCAGGAGGAAGAAGGGATGAACCTGATCAGCAGTACGGGTGGCAGGGAAGGAAGGAGAGAAGGAGAAGTCAGCAGGATACACAGGGGAGAAAGGGAATGAGGGTGGACAGAGGAAGATTCACGACACATGTCTAAATCACTACCATGCCATGTCCGCATGCCATTTCTTCATTCATGCCATGTCCGAATGCCATTTATTCATTCATGCCATGTCCGCATGCCATTTCTTCATTCATGCCATGTCCGAATGCCATTTATTCATTCATGCCATGTCCGCATGCCATTTCTTCATTCATGCCATGTCTGCATGCCATGTCTGCATGCTATGTCTCTATCCATGCCGCCTCTCTGCCCACCATGCCATGTGTCATGTCTGTAAAGGGATTTGTCTGACAACATGCTGGAAGGCCCGCTGCCACCCTCCCTCTGCCTTCCTTCTCTCCAATTCGTGTGAGCTTCACATGTGCAGTCGTTTGAAACGACTGTTTTCAGCGATGTTTCTAAAAAATACGGCAGTTTTTCTTTACCCTTCTTTATTGAGCCTATGGAGAGCCCAGTAAAGCTCGACTTGTGAAAAAGGTGGCTCTCATAAGGCCTTGCATTGACACGGCGACCCTCCAGCTCTCCTCACCATGCACCACTCTGCCTTCCCTTTGCATCAAACTCCCTTCCCGTCGTAGACCACCCCCCTTCCCGTGCACTACTCTCCCTTCCCGAACGGTCCTTGCCCTGCCTGCCCTGTAGACTCGTCACCGATTTGAAGCCACAGTAGTTGCGTGCTTGCGTGCGTGCGTGCTTGCTTGCGTGTGTGCTTGCTTGCGTGCTTGGTGGGTGCGTTGGTTGGCTGCTTGAACTGTGCTCTGTCTGTGCATGCGTGGGCAGGACCTTGCGCAACAACTCCCTCAACGGGTCCATCCCTGCTGCTATCAGCCTCATGACTGACTTGCGCAACCTGTGAGTGCCAGCAGGTCCTAATAGCTGAACTGGATTGGCTGGACCTATGTGAGAATGACTTGTGAAACGTCTTAAAAGGATCCAGATGGTGACAATGTCAGAGTGAGAGTGAGAGTGAGAATCAAACTCAAAATTGAGCCTCCCTCTGCTGCGCGCTCACTCAGTGTGTGTGTGGGCAGCAATGGAACTTCTTTTCAATCTTGGCCTCGTGCTGGCCTGTTCCTCCCCCCCTTGTGTGCCATTCTGCTCAATGCTCAACTGAACGTCGCTCAGATCAGAGCTTGGCTTTGCAGATGGGAAGGGGGAACACAGGCAGAATCCCATACTCATACTGCTTTATCCTGCTGTCGAGTATACAAACCTGACCTTTGAAGCTCTCAACTGCTGATGCCCAGGAAACCTCTTCTCCCTGCCCCCTCCCCGTTCACCACCCCATTCTTAACTCAACCTTTCCCCTTTGTTGTTCTGTGGCATGTTTGTCGTTTTCAGTGGATTGGACCAGAACAAGCTCTCAGGGTCCATTCCCGCTGAATTCAGTGTGATGAAGAGCATATATCGTCTGTAAGAATGCCATTCCTTATGCACATAGGCATGCATTCTGCTGATCGTTCTTGGGCTAATTACCCTTACAGCTTCTTGCTGACAAGAGGACCATGGGGCCTCGCACTTGCATGCTGACACATGCTTGCGTACTAACGCTAGCACATGCGCCAAGCTGTGTACGCCTAAACCTTCCATCCCCCTCGTCCTACCCCACTTCCCCTTCTCCACTGGCCTTGTGGTGTGCGGTGCTGTGGTGTGCTGTGCTGTGGTGTGCGGTGCTGTGGTGTGCGGTGCTGTGGTGTGCGGTGCTGTGTGCCAGAGAGTTGCACCACAACGAGCTGTCAGGATCCATTCCCTCTCAACTCACAGCAATGGAATCCTTGAATCACCTGTGAGAACTCCACACACAGCTGTGCCTGCACGTGCCTGCACGTGCTTTCACACAGTGTCACACACATGCCATACACGCACAGCTGTGTCTGTCTGTGTTGTATGCTCTCAAAAGGCAATGCCCATGTGTCGCATCTGGCTGCCTTGTTGTCGTGGTGCTCTTGCCGTGTCATACAACTGTCCTGCCGTGTGCACAGGCTCTTGGGTTTCAATCAGCTGACCGGCTCAATTCCACCTCTCCCTCGACAGCTCCTCACGCTGTGAGAGTCACCTCTCTTCCCTTCCTCCCTCCCTCCCTTCTTTCCTCCTCCCGCCCTTTTCCCTCCCTTCTTTCCTTCCTCCCTCCCTTCTTTCCTCCCTCCCTCCCTTCCTTTCTTCCTTCCTCCCTCCGACCCTTCTTTCCTTCCTCCCTTCCTTATTTCCTCCCTCCCTCCTCCCTTCATTCATCCCTTCCTTCCTTCCACTCTTCCTTCCTCCCTTCATTCCTTTCTTCCTCCCTTCTTCCATCTCCCTTCCCGGTCCATGCTCTATGTGTTAGCCCTGCATCTCACTCATAGAGCACTGCACGTTTCTCTTCCACACTGCACGTTTCTCTTCCACACTGCACGTTTCTCTTCCACACTGCACGTTTCTCTTCCACACTGCACGTTTCTCTTCCACACTGCACGTTTCTCTTCCACACTGCACGTTTCTCTTCCACACTGCACGTTTCTCTTCCACACTGCACGTTTCTCTTCCACACTGCACGTTTCTCTTCCACACTGCACGTTTCTCTTCCACACTGCACGTTTCTCTTCCACACTGCACGTTTCTCTTCCACACTGCACGTTTCTCTTCCACACTGCACGTTTCTCTTCCACACTGCACGTTTCTCTTCCACACTGCACGTTTCTCTTCCACACTGCACGTTTCTCTTCCACACTGCACGTTTCTCTTCCACACTGCACGTTTCTCTTCCACACTGCACGTTTCTCTTCCACACTTGCACGTTTTCTCTTCCACACTGCACGTTTCTCTTCCACACTGCACGTTTCTCTTCCACACTGCACGTTTCTCTGCACGTTTCTCTTCCACACTGCACGTTTCTCTTCCACACTGCACGTTTCTCTTCCACACTGCACGTTTCTCTTCCACACTGCACGTTTCTCTTCCACACTGCACGTTTCTCTTCCACACTGCACGTTTCTCTTCCACACTGCACGTTTCTCTTCCACACTGCACGTTTCTCTTTCCACACTGCACGTTTCTCTTCCACACTGCACGTTTCTCTTCCACACTGCACGTTTCTCTTCCACACTGCACGTTTCTCTTCCACACTGCACGTTTCTCTTCCACACTGCACGTTTCTCTTCCACACTGCAACGTTTCTCTTCCACACTGCACGTTTCTCTTCCACACTGCACGTTTCTCTTCCACACTGCACGTTTCTCTTCCACACTGCACGTTTCTCTTCCACACTGCACGTTTCTCTTCCACACTGCACGTTTCTCTTCCACACTGCACGTTTCTCTTCCACACTGCACGTTTCTCTTCCACACTGCACGTTTCTCTTCCACACTGCACGTTTCTCTTCCACACTGCACGTTTCTCTTCCACACTGCACGTTTCTCTTCCACACTGCACGTTTCTCTTCCACACTGCAACGTTTCTCTTCCACACTGCACGTTTCTCTTCCACACTGCACGTTTCTCTTCCACACTGCACGTTTCTCTTCCACACTGCACGTTTCTCTTCCACACTGCACGTTTCTCTTCCACACTGCACGTTTCTCTTCCACACTGCACGTTTCTCTTCCACACTGCACGTTTCTCTTCCACACTGCACGTTTCTCTTCCACACTGCACGTTTCTCTTCCACACTGCACGTTTCTCTTCCACACTGCACGTTTCTCTTCCACACTGCACGTTTCTCTTCCACACTGCACGTTTCTCTTCCACACTGCACGTTTCTCTTCCACACTGCACGTTTCTCTTCCACACTGCACGTTTCTCTTCCACACTGCACGTTTCTCTTCCACACTGCACGTTTCTCTTCCACACTGCACGTTTCTCTTCCACACTGCACGTTTCTCTTCCACACTGCACGTTTCTCTTCACACTGCACGTTTCTCTTCCACACTGCACGTTTCTCTTCCACACTGCACGTTTCTCTTCCACACTGCACGTTTCTCTTCCACACTGCACGTTTCTCTTCCACACTATTCCTGCACGTTTCTCTTCCACACTGCACGTTTCTCTTCCACACTGCACGTTTCTCTTCCACACTGCACGTTTCTCTTCCACACTGCACGTTTCTCTTCCACACTGCACGTTTCTCTTCCACACTGCACGTTTCTCTTCCACACTGCACGTTTCTCTTCCACACTGCACGTTTCTCTTCCACACTGCACGTTTCTCTTCCACACTGCACGTTTCTCTTCCACACTGCACGTTTCTCTTCCACACTGCACGTTTCTCTTCCACACTGCACGTTTCTCTTCCACACTGCACGTTTCTCTTCCACACTGCACGTTTCTCTTCCACACTGCACGTTTCTCTTCCACACTGCACGTTTCTCTTCCACACTGCACGTTTCTCTTCCACACTGCACGTTTCTCTTCCACACTGCACGTTTCTCTTCCACACTGCACGTTTCTCTTCCCACACTGCACGTTTCTCTTCCACACTGCACGTTTCTCTTCCACACTGCACGTTTCTCTTCCACACTGCACGTTTCTCTTCCACACTGCACGTTTCTCTTCCACACTGCACGTTTCTCTTCCACACTGCACGTTTCTCTTCCACACTGCACGTTTCTCTTCCACACTGCACGTTTCTCTTCCACACTGCACGTTTCTCTTCCACACTGCACGTTTCTCTTCCACACTGCACGTTTCTCTTCCACACTGCACGTTTCTCTTCCACACTGCACGTTTCTCTTCCACACTGCACGTTTCTCTTCCACACTGCACGTTTCTCTTCCACACTGCACGTTTCTCTTCCACACTGCACGTTTCTCTTCCACACTGCACGTTTCTCTTCCACACTGCACGTTTCTCTTCCACACTGCACGTTTCTCTTCCACACTGCACGTTTCTCTTCCACACTGCACGTTTCTCTTCCACACTGCACGTTTCTCTTCCACACTGCACGTTTCTCTTCCACACTGCACGTTTCTCTTCCACACTGCACGTTTCTCTTCCACACTGCACGTTTCTCTTCCACACTGCACGTTTCTCTTCCACTACTGCACGTTTCTCTTCCACACTGCACGTTTCTCTTCCACACTGCACGTTTCTCTTCCACACTGCACGTTTCTCTTCCACACTGCACGTTTCTCTTCCACACTGCACGTTTCTCTTCCACACTGCACGTTTCTCTTCCACACTGCACGTTTCTCTTCCACACTGCACGTTTCTCTTCCACACTGCACGTTTCTCTTCCACACTGCACGTTTTCTCTTCCACACTGCACGTTTCTCTTCCACACTGCACGTTTCTCTTCCACACTGCACGTTTCTCTTCCACACTGCACGTTTCTCTTCCACACTGCACGTTTCTCTTCCACACTGCACGTTTCTCTTCCACACTGCACGTTTCTCTTCCACACTGCACGTTTCTCTTCCACACTGCACGTTTCTCTTCCACACTGCACGTTTCTCTTCCACACTGCACGTTTCTCTTCCACACTGCACGTTTCTCTTCCACACTGCACGTTTCTCTTCCACACTGCACGTTTCTCTTCCACACTGCACGTTTCTCTTCCACACTGCACGTTTCTCTTCCACACTGCACGTTTCTCTTCCACACTGCACGTTTCTCTTCCACACTGCACGTTTCTCTTCCACACTGCACGTTTCTCTTCCACACTGCACGTTTTCTCTTCCACACTGCACGTTTTCTCTTCCACACTGCACGTTTCTCTTCCACACTGCACGTTTCTCTTCCACACTGCACGTTTCTCTTCCACACTGCACGTTTCTCTTCCACACTGCACGTTTCTCTTCCACACTGCACGTTTCTCTTCCACACTGCACGTTTCTCTTCCACACTGCACGTTTCTCTTCCACACTGCACGTTTCTCTTCCACACTGCACGTTTCTCTTCCACACTGCACGTTTCTCTTCCACACTGCACGTTTCTCTTCCACACTGCACGTTTCTCTTCCACACTGCACGTTTCTCTTCCACACTGCACGTTTCTCTTCCACACTGCACGTTTCTCTTCCACACTGCACGTTTCTCTTCCACACTGCACGTTTCTCTTCCACACTGCACGTTTCTCTTCCACACTGCACGTTTCTCTTCCACACTGCACGTTTCTCTTCCACACTGCACGTTTCTCTTCCACACTGCACGTTTCTCTTCCACACTGCACGTTTCTCTTCCACACTGCACGTTTCTCTTCCACACTGCACGTTTCTCTTCCACACTGCACGTTTCTCTTCCACACTGCACGTTTCTCTTCCACACTGCACGTTTCTCTTCCACACTGCACGTTTCTCTTCCACACTGCACGTTTCTCTTCCACACTGCACGTTTCTCTTCCACACTGCACGTTTCTCTTCCACACTGCACGTTTCTCTTCCACACTGCACGTTTCTCTTCCACACTGCACGTTTCTCTTCCACACTGCACGTTTCTCTTCCACACTGCACGTTTCTCTTCCACACTGCACGTTTCTCTTCCACACTGCACGTTTCTCTTCCACACTGCACGTTTCTCTTCCACACTGCACGTTTCTCTTCCACACTGCACGTTTCTCTTCCACACTGCACGTTTCTCTTCCACACTGCACGTTTCTCTTCCACACTGCACGTTTCTCTTCCACACTGCACGTTTCTCTTCCACACTGCACGTTTCTCTTCCACACTGCACGTTTCTCTTCCACACTGCACGTTTCTCTTCCACACTGCAACGTTTCTCTTCCACACTGCACGTTTCTCTTCCACACTGCACGTTTCTCTTCCACACTGCACGTTTCTCTTCCACACTGCACGTTTCTCTTCCACACTGCACGTTTCTCTTCCACACTGCACGTTTCTCTTCCACACTGCACGTTTCTCTTCCACACTGCACGTTTCTCTTCCACACTGCACGTTTCTCTTCCACACTGCACGTTTCTCTTCCACACTGCACGTTTCTCTTCCACACTGCACGTTTCTCTTCCACACTGCACGTTTCTCTTCCACACTGCACGTTTCTCTTCCACACTGCACGTTTCTCTTCCACACTGCACGTTTCTCTTCCACACTGCACGTTTCTCTTCCACACTGCACGTTTC